ACCATGCTTCTCTCTTCCTGGGCCAGTCACTGCCCTCACTAACTCTCCCCTGCTGGGAAGAGGTGGGTAGTGGAGAGCATGGGTTGGGGTAACTGAGTGTGTGAGTGTATGAGTGTGTGTGTGTGTGTGTGTGTGTGTGTGTGTGTGTGTGTGTGTGTGTGCATAGGGGGTTTAGTGGAGGCTGGGAAAGGTGGGCTGAGATGTTTGAGATGAAAGCACAAAAGGAGCACTTACCATGTAAATGGCCCTGCAGCGGAAGCCTGTTATCGGAGCATCTAATGGGGTTTTGTAGGGCCAAGGCCAATGCTCCAGGCAGGGCAAGGCTTTCCTGGTTCCCAGGCAGCTCCCTGCAGTTGGCATGGGCCCTGGTGCCAGGCCCAACTCTTGGCCCCTCCAGCTAAGGGTCCAGACATGCTGGCATGACCTGGTGCCCTAGAAACCACCAGCCTTGTCCTGTGCCACCCCCCACTTAGCCACCACATCCTGGAGGCGGCCTCCTCTGGACCCCTCAGACCCTCTCAAGCAGAAACAAGTATGGAGTGGGGGAGTAGAAAAACAGAGCCTGGGGCAGCCTCAGGTGATGGAAAATGCCCTCCACCTGCCAGATCTGGGAGCTTCCTCCTGCCTCCTCCCCACCCCCAGACCTCCCACTACAGGCAGGATGGGTACTGGCCAAGGTCAGGTTCTCACCCAGATGGGGCTAGAAACTCAGATCTGAGTCCCTGAGCAGCTACTGATTGTTCCTTGGGAAGCTGGACTGGTTCAAAACTTCCTTCTTCCCTTGCCCCTTGGAGCCTCAGGAGAGTATGGAACTCTTGAGCCCAGCCAAGTTCTCTCTAGACTGTGAGGTCCTAGAGGGCAGAAGCAGGTTCCAGCACCCAGCACAGTGCCCAGCACATAGCAGGTGCCTAAGAAGGACACTTATCTGGAGCTTATTATGTGCTGGGCATGTTCTAAGAGCTTTATAAATAAGAACTCATTTTATCCTCAGGACAGCCCTGTGAAGCAGGTACTGTGATTATCTGCATTTTACAGACGAAACATAGAGAGGTGGAGTCCCTTTCCCAAGGTGGCACAGCTAGTAAGAGGTAGAGGTGGGATTTGAATTCAAGCAGTCTGGCTCCGATCATGCTCTCCCACTAGTCAACATGTACCTGTTAGATGGAATGAGTTCAGGGGGTGAGTGGACGTCCTCGAGGTCACCAGTGAGTGAGGGCAGACCTGGGACCCAACTACCCAGGTCAGAACAGCCTTGGGGGCTTGAGGTCCTTGGGTCCCCACACTCTAGCAGGTGATGGGTGATTGTTTCAGGATGAACGCCATTTCTTCTCAGGGGTCTGATGGTTCCTGGGTCCTGCTGATGGTAAACCTAAGCGGTCTCCAGGGAAGCCTTCCCCAAAGCCTGGAGAACCTTCCTTTGCTTACTTCAAGGTCATCCCAGATGGGGCAGCTTTAGCCAAAACTGTGGATGGGGTGAGCATTGGGGAATGTGAAAGGAGGCAGGGCTGGGAAGGGCCAGGAGTGGACAGAAGAGATTGGGGGGCAGGGGGCATTGCGGTGGGGTGAGATGAAGTTCTGAGGGGCGCCCTTGTCTTTTCCCACTCTGGGGGGAGACAAGGTGGCCAGGGAAGTGGCTGGGGATGGTCTGGGAACAGAGCCAGACACATCTCACTGTGCGGGACTGGGGGCTTCCTGTCTTATGATTAACCTAAGGGTCACGGGCCAAGGGTGCAGAGGCAGAGGGTACAGGCAAAGAAGAAAGGAGAATGGGGTTGTTGCTTCCTTAATGGGGAAACAGAGTCTGAAAATCAATCTCGGGGAGCTGGACTGGAAGCAGGAATGCGGGAGACCAGCTGGGCCAAAGCAGGTACAACCAACAAGGGAGGTGGTCTCAGGGGCTCAGGAGCACTTGAGCCAGGCAGAGAAAACATGAGGGCTTGTCTCCCGGCCTAGAAAAGCCATTAGCAAGCCTGCAAGTTCTCCATCTTCTGCTCTTCCATTCAGAATGCTGGTCACTTGTTTGGCAGATAGCTCTGACCTCACCACGGAGCAGTGTCTTTATCGAAACCCCAGATTTTGTCTGGATTCATTAGACTAACAAAGCTCATTTGATCTTCTCCAGTTTACCCCCATGGGGCTCAACTAACACGTAGGCAATTGAGATTTTTGCAGAGCGGCCTGGTGGGTGGGCTTCTCAGGCCTGGGTGCCAGAGAGTGTGGTTTCTTCAAGGGGAGGGCATCACACCCACTGACCCTGGAACAGACCAGAACCTGCACCACCTAGATTTCTTCTGCGGTCTAGGAAGAAAGCTTCCCAGCAGACGCCCTGGGATGGGCACGTGTAGAAGAGTTCACAAGCACCGTTTAAGGAAATGCCTTCAGGTGTTTTCTAAATTTGATGTCATGGCCCAATTTCTTCAAAGGAAATATAATCTCAAACCACAACATAGAAACAAATAAAAGGGAAACTGGGTCCTGGAAGGGCTCCCAGCTGTCTTCCTAGGCCCCGCAGGGCAGTGCTGGGGAGCCTTCTTTGAGGGCAGCCCTGGGCAGACCAAGGCCCAGTGTGGCCTGAGGCCCCTGTGCGGTTGGCTGCCTTTCCTGACCATTAATCGCTACTAAGTGTCATTACCGCTAATAAAATTAACCGACTTTATACTGGACTCCTGGGGCCATCAATCACAGAGTCTATTACATGAAATTAAAAAACAAAACGCAAAACATGTGCCTGTGTATGGGGAAAGGGCGCTGAGCCTGGCTCACAAGTGCAGTCGAGGGCACACTGGTTCCCCACAGCTTTCATAAGGTCACGATCAGGGGCACTGGCACCCTTAGTGAGACAAACCAACTCCAAGCCTTGACACTGTACTTCGGGTAGGAGCATCTCAGGTAAGAACACAGCTGACCTCAGGAAGACTCTGCAGCCCAGATTCTCCCTCCCGCTCTCACCTCTGCTTTTCTTGGTGCATTTGGTTCATTTTCTCTTTAGACCAGCTCCCTTTTGTATCACCTGCGTTACAGGCCCAGTCACCCAAAAAGAAAGAGAAAGAAAGCAGCTGTATGCTCTCTTAATTCAAATTCCAAATTCCCAGAAAAAGGACTGATTGGCCCAGCTTGAGTCACGTGATCCTCATTGGTCCACAGGCCAGAGTAGCCAACCCAGCTTGTGTCCACATAGTAATTTAAAGGGCTTAATAATAGGCACTCGAAATATGGTAGATGTATCATATATCATATCATATCACAAAATATAGTTCTAATGATACAATAATAGCTATTATTCTTAAAATGGCATTTGAGACAGGCTTTGAAGGATATGCAGCCCCATTGGTCAAAATTCCCATCACTCCCTGCTTGTCAATCAGCTGCTACAAGGAAGGCCCCAATTTCTGAAACACAGGAACTACGTGAACAGAAGCTGTCCCTGGTGTGGGGAGGACATTGGAAGGGCTACATGCCTGCTGCCCCTTTGCTCCCTGCAGCCCCTGAGTGGCCTTCCACCCTGGAAGCTGGTCCGGGTGGGGCCTTCTCAGCCGGAGTTGACATCAGGTTCTGCTGTGGACCAGCCAAGGGTCAAGCTCTAAGGGTTTCCTGCCAGGCTGCAGGGAGGGGTTTGGGTGTAGACCTGGTGGACTGGAAATTTACCCATTTGCCCCCAGATTAATGATTAACGGGTCCCGGCCCTCACCCTGTCTGGGAGGGGAACCCAGGGCCAGGCTGGGCCAGGAGGAGCCTGATAGCATCTGTCTCTGCTCGGAGGTTTCAGAGATATGCTCCACACTGGGTTGGCTGCACCTGATGGATTTGGAATCTACAGGCACTTTCTTGGGGCACCTGGGGCCTGGCCAGGAACCACACCCACCCAGACGGGGGGGCGTGGCATCTAGCCAGATATCCTGGCTGGAGCAGGTGGCTCCACACAGGAGAACTGTGCCCTTGTGTCCATGGGACATGGGCCTTTCTGACCCCTCAGGGCTTGGCCAGGACTTGCCTTGGCCAGCAGCACACGGGCATGAATGGCCAGTGCCACATTCAAGCAGGAGCTTGAAGACCCATTGTGGTTCTACCTTTGCTCTTTTACCTTGACCATGAGGCCAGCATGTTCCAAAAAGGGGCTACCCCCTCCAGCCTGGGTCTGGGATGATATGTTTTCCAGAATCTATGAACTTTGGATGTTGTAGAACGAGAAGTCTGGGGCTGATGGCCTGATGGAAATTCAGCCCCTTCCCCTTCATTCACCCATCTGGCAGCCTGTACATCCATCCACCTACCCCCCTTTCCTTCCTTCCCTCCCTCCTTCCATCCATGTGGGTATTCCCCAAGCATCTCTCTGTAATAGGCACTGAGTGACCAGATGGCTGAAGATCTATCTGGGAATTATGGAAGCAAGTTAGGTTGGCCTGGGATTACTTGGGCGGTGACATATATAAGGGGCAGAGGGCTGTTGGGAAGAATGGCTGGGTGTCTGCTCACTGTCTACAGTGCTCTGCCTGGCCCCTCTTAGAAATGTGGCTCTCCCCTCCCGACAGTAGCCAACATTACATGCAGTGTTTCCCAAACTTCCCCCATCATTGAAGCTGCCCAGGGATGTGGTAAATATGCAGAGTCCCCAGGCCCCACTCCAGACCAACAGAAGCAGAATTGTCAAGTGTGGATTCTGGGAATCTGTATTTTTAATAAGCATCCTGGATTGATTATCCTGATTGGGCAAGTTTGGGAAATTGTGGGTAAAAAGATCAGAGGTTTTGGCATCTAGAGGAGGCGTCTGGGATCCTGCACTAGCCCTTGTTATAAGCACCTTGGTTTCCTACCCTACAAAATGGGAATGTAACCCCATGGGCCTCCCTCCCAGAAATAATGAAGCCCCCAAGAAGGCCACCTTCTCCTCACCTGCCCACATCCTCAGGAACTGTCCTCTTTAGTTCTCTCCCCCCACTCCACCAGCCCATTATGACCCCCAAGGGTCACAGGTCTCCCTTCTCTCTCCCTCTCTAGCCTGACCGGACGGGAGGTCCTGACGCCCTTCCCAGGGATGGGCACCGCAGTGGCCCCAGCGCAGGGTGGGGCCCACCTGAAGCAGTGTGACCTGCTGAAGCTGTCGCGCCGGCAGAAGCAGCTCTGTCGGCGGGAGCCTGGCCTGGCTGAGACCCTGCAGGATGCCGCCCACCTCAGCCTGCTCGAGTGTCAGTTCCAGTTTCGGCATGAGCGCTGGAACTGCAGTCTGGAGGGGAGGACAGGCCTGCTCAAGAGAGGTAGGGAGGAGGGCT